GAGTTCTAGACCTAAGATCATCATCAACCTGTCATTGTCCCAACGGAGGGCACAGTATGTACTATTATTCTATCTCTATCAACCGTCTTACCTAAATTTGCTCTTTTCTTACGAATGGATATGTGAAAGAGGAATCTTTCACAAAATTTATCCATACTTTCTTCAGTCTTTCTCTACCTTTGTCAGCTATATTCAATTACTACTTATATATGTGATCGTCTCTCCTTATATGTCAATTAATAAGTTTAAACCAAAGGTTTTGGTGTCAATTTCTTCGAACATACTTTACTGCTAAACTATACTTAAACTAATGACCAAACGGAATGGCTTCCTCATACGTAACTAATAACGGGACGAGCTTCCTCTTCACGAGTACTTATCTAGGACAAGAAGCAAAGATCGAGGTTACGTATGTGAACGTCATTTCCATGTCATTCATATACAAAGACAAAAAAGTTATGTTACATTCAGCAAAGTATACATCAATAATTGTACTTGAGTTCAAAGAGCAACACTGAAACCTCAAAACCACCGGTGAATTTTTATTATTAAGTGAAACAAAAGCTTCATTCATATACTTACATACATACTTAGTAATAAAGGGTCAATGACCTCAAGACATGCATAAAAGTAGTTGGGTCGTGATAAAGAAAATAGAAATGGAGTGAAAAGGAATTTCGTTACAAAAGAGAATGCTTGATTACTTAAACCAATCAAGCCCACCAGCAAAAGGCACAACAAATTAAAAAACACATGCCTGAAACAAGTGACAAGAGATTGTCGAACAAGGAAAAGCGCTCACTCGGTCAGAGACACGGTGATGCAACAAAATGGCTTAACGTATTAAGGATGCTGTCACTCGAAGGCTCCGGCTGCAAGAGCACGATCACATTTCTATATTAGTGTTGCATAAGTGTACCGGTAGGTACGCACTTGTTATACTGCCGTGTGAACTGGACTATCACATCTTTTTAAATTACTTTATAAACGTCAGCAACTGTACACGGAAAGACAAACTACAATTTGCCACAGTTCATTGCCGCTTTGCTCTTATCGTCGTAACATAAACATCTTTTATTATTACAGACGTGCATATATAATTTACTACAAGAAACATAACATTTGTACCTTTTAATATTCGATCATCTAAACTATAATGTTTATAGATTTTAAAATAAGGATAGTGTCAACTAATAGGAAATGAAAAAGCTTTGTTATTATAAAACGTAAATACTAACAAAAACTTTAAAACCAGTTCGTAGCTTTGCTGTGTAATGATTTACTTATGAATGAAAGAGCTACTAATAGAGTTAAAGACAACCTTCTTAATGGACGTTGAGCCGGCCGCGTGTTCGATGTAAACTCGAATGACGCGTATGACTCGGATTAAATCAAAACATTTAGTACAAAATCTATAATAACACAGAGAAGACGACGTAAATCTGTCAAAATAAACACAACAAAACAAGAGCTGGTAACAAGATAGTTTTTCGAGGGTTAAAGAAATGCAAAGATAAAAGGATAAAGACATGATATTGCAAACGAGTATAAACCAATTTAAAATGTTGTAAACATATAAACAATAGTCACTGACGAACAAGTTTATCTTTATTGATGTTTACCAGAATAAGCGATGGTTCCCTTTCACTTCGCATTGCAAAGAATTTATCAGAGAACGAACCGAGGTCTTCAGGTCACGACACCACAATGGGTAATACAATAAAAGTAAAAGGCACAACCAATTGTACAAACACCATAACAGTCTCTAGAAGATTCCATAAGCAATAGACGAGATCGAGCGCTATTACATAATGAAATAGTTAGTAGTCTATTATTTGGATAAACAATTAATTTTGAAATCAATTCATTCGAAATTAAGTCTTAAGTTCAGCACATTGTATGATGGTAATACAAAAGATTTTTGGGACCGTAAAAGCTCACTAACATGTTGAGACTCACAGTGTATTGAAAAATAATAACAGTGTTGATTTATTAGAACGTGTTCGCAAAAGATGTTATTATAGATAGTAAAATTTATTACTTGACTTTGGCGTAATGATTTCAAATTATTCATAGAGGGTCATAAAAAATTGTTACTCCCAGGCAGCTTTCATAACCGATGCAAATTGTAGTAGTGTACGTTTAAATTCTTTTTACACCTATCTTTCTTTGATTTAATACAATAAAGTACGTGTACCTATTCGATAGTTTTTGTACTTGTTCTTTGATGGAATGGTAAATCATATCGGAAGTAGTACATTTAAATGTTTTCATCATCGAACGTAAAGAACAGTATCATTAATTAAATTACATACAGTTTTCACATATTCATGTGAACTCCCATCTTAATACAAAAGGTGCAAATTAATACGCCTGGTCTATCACCACTAAGGCATAGTCAAAGAAAAAGTGATTCCATATGACAAGTTAATAGGATAGGATTACATATTGAGATACAACAATGTGGAGTCGCCAGATTAGGATTTCGTCCTTCATACCCATCTATCAATCGTCAATTTGCGTTTCTTTTTGTTTTCATTAGACTCAACCCTGAACGAAGAAAACTAAAAAAGAGCAATAATCGATCTCTAGTTAGGTCACTAAGGTTCTGATCTAGAATTTATAATGTTAAAGACATTACAGTCCAGTACATGAATACAGTTACCCGCTCATTAATCTTTTGAGTAAAAACCTCGAGCGGGTTTCTTGCAGGTTCTTTGAAAACTGCAATCAGCAGCCGAGCCTTTCGTATCGATAACGTAAGTATAATGATGATGAGATTTCTAGGTTCATAAAGAAAGTTGCACAGCCGAGGGACTGGAGGTAGGCGCCGACAGCGAGGTCAACGACATGGCGTTATGAGAACACTGTTACTTTCAAAGGTCGAGCGAGGTGCAGCACGGCCGGGCTTGCCCGAGATAACGCACCAGCGAAACTACGACCTAACTATAAATGAGCAAATGACAATTAGATTCAAACAGAGGTTGCCAAACATTTTTCCCGTAGATCGATTTCAAAATTTTAAGGGTTCCGGGGAACCCTTTGCTGCTTCATTTCTAACATTCTCTCAAAATCAACTTTATTTTCCACCAACAGGGGTTCTCTTTGTGTCTTCCGTGTTCTATAGATAATTCATCTGAAACACTTTGAGAATCACTGGTTTCGAGTAATAAACATGGCGCCTGCTGATCGTAACTGACTCATATATATCTGCGATAAGGAAATGTGGATGCGATATTTTATCAGAGAAGTATTAAATATGAAATAGACCGCCAAATCTATATAGGCCAGACGAGAGCCAATAACTGACGGTTTCAATAAACCGGGGTTATATTCAATAATGAAAAGCAACAGCGAGATTGCAGAGGGATGCTGAAAATCCGCAATGCAGCATTACCCACACTGCACAGATCGACATCTTACGGTTTTGAAAAATTCAATTCTGTGGGATTTATATTACGTTACGCATTTTGAGTTAATTAATAAACAAAAGCAATCTACAGTAAACGGTTTCAACGCAACACAATGAAAAAAATCTCGTACGTTAATTTTGTTTAAAAAACAGATAGAAAAACATGGAAATCAAATTTTATAGTTATTACCTACGAAGTTACCTTGGTAAAGCAAAAACGACAGAAACCAACAAGGAATATATCATACTTTCGTATTGTTGCTTATGGTCGTTCCCAGAGTCGCTTAAAAAAGTTCACATCTTTTACCTCGGATAAATTGAGGCCTGGCTAATACTCCTTAACAAGTATGAAAAAATCGATATTAAGAACAAAGGCGTTAAAACTATTGCCCTTCAGTGACCAATCAACAACGATAGTTATACTTATAGTTCAGTGACCTTAACACCAGGTCATGACATGTTATTTAGTTTACAACATACTTTGTTCTAATTCTACAACTAAGTTGGTGATTAGCCTTTCTAATCGTTGAGAGGAGCATGGTCTTACGTCTTATACATCTTACTTCTTACTAATCTTACTAATATTATAAATGTGTAGGTTTAGATGGATGTTTTTTTATTAGGGTTTGTACCCTAAACGGCTGAAAGGATCACAATGAAATTTGACACAGATGGAGAGGCTAGTCTGGAAGAACACACAAACTACTCAATTCCGTTTTTTCTACATCCACGCGAACGGAGTCGCGGCGAAAGCTAGTTTATCATAATCATATCTTAAAAGGACATAATAACGTTCGTTAAGCTGTCATAAATACATACATACATACACTATAGACCTACAAATTTTATTAAAAGTAGAGTGTAAAGAAGTAAGGAATCTATTGAGATAGGCTATCTAAGATAGTGGTAAACGTTCGCTTTGAGATCCATCACCCCATACCATGTGACACACGCGCATTATACACTTGACAACCGTCTATAAAAATATTGAAAAACTTATTTTAATACTGAGAATTCTTTTGCTTCTATATTTAACCAAGACTTCATTAAAAAAGTTGTATCCAAGGACCTTCCGACATTTATTATACTAACTACAGAATGCCATAGATAGTGATAAGTAGTCCTAGTTAATAGCTGGCAAGGATGCGTTATTTCCGTGATAAGAACAAGGATGTAGGTATGTATGGAACATAGCTAAATAGTTATTAACATACAGAGATGGGCTTTGAACCTGGATGAGATTATTTAACATATGTTAACTGTATAAAAAAAAAGAATAATAGACTTCCTAACTTCGATTTTTACATAGAACATAGTGTTATTAATATATAGACAGAGAGAAAACTTTATTGTCAACGACATGCCCTATAATTCGACCATAAGTCATCATCATCATCATCACCAGTTCACTACATGTTCCCACCGAGGGGCTCGGAGCCTACCTTAGATTATTTTTAAAGGCCATAGTCAATGCGACCATAAGTAGGAAATATTTAATTAATATTTAGATATTGAGCAATGTGTTTTTTTTGTTATAGGAGGTCATGTTATTAAAATTAAAATACGACCGATTCAAAATGGTACTCACAGCTCCTCTCGTTGCCGTTGTGACAACACCATTTTCATTGTGGTCGGGTGACGCGTGAGGCGGCTGGCCCGGGTCGTTAGCTGCACTAGAGTCTCACAGTTCACGCGGGCGACGGCAGGAGCGCCGTTGCCATTATCACACCTGTCCGCAATGTAAAATAAAACATCTACACATCTGCCTTTAAATTCCTCAAATGCTGTTTGGATAATCTACTTAATGACATTCTACAAATATATAGCGATTAAATGCATTCTCAGATGTACGAAATATAGAATATAAGATGTGTGGTCTTTGATGTATTATAGATTCCAACACTTAGCGGAGGCTAATTTTACTTGAAGTCTGAAAAGTTTAGTTATATTTATATTGGAAAAACATACAGACCACCTTTAACATTTAAAGTAAACATTAACTATAGTTCAAACTACAAATATCTATGATTATGCGCTGCAGAATAAATTTTCAAAATGTTTGGATAACTAAAGTACTTAATATATTTATGATTTTTTAAAATAACACAAAACATGCTGTAATTATCAATTAGTGTATTATTTTGGGTTGGCACCATATGGCTATTTCGTAATTTCCTTTCAACTTTTAAGGTTTCAAACAATGAGCAATTTAGGTTTTCTTATGGCTTCTTCAAACTGGCTTATCTTTTTGACAAACAGCCTATTCTTTATTTTAAGTACCAATTCAAATAACACATAAGTTACTCCATAACTTGTAAATATAAATGGTAACACTCACTATCATTACTTCAAATTTATGTTATAAATGTTGGATAAATGTTTGTTACCATCTATCTTCAAAAATTTAAAGGGTCACAATGAAATTTGGAAAGTTATAGAATATAGCTTGGAAGAACATATATAAATTCGACACATATATTTTCTTAAGCAAAATCGAACATTTGATAAAATCAAGTTTTCCAAAAAGGAACAATGCCAAGTTGGTATCACCGAATTCAATAAATAACTTAGTTGAAATAGTTTGTAACCCTGTACATAGATCAGATATACTAAACTAGCTAGCCTAAAGCAAAATTGTGTTAATGAAATACTTAAAAAAAAATTGGATTATAAAAGCACACAAAGAAATTTTAATTTACATTAACAAAATATTTATGTAAAATGTGACAAACTAGTGAATAGGAAATATTTGTATTTTTGTATGTATTGAAATAACTCAAAAACTACTGGGCTGATTTCAAACATTCTTTCACCATTGTAAAACTATGTTATCAGTGTGTAACCTAGGGCATTTTTTTATTATTTTTTAGTTCATGTGGGGGAAGTTGCAAGCAACAAACTAAATAAAAATTCAAATTATTACTCATTGCCTATATCCACTACTACACAATATTCTACACTTTTGTATTTAAATTTTAATATAATTTTAACTTACTTACAATATTTTACCCATGATATTTTAATATGTGTGTATCAAAACTACAGACCAATATGGACTTAGGACTTAAACAATTTAAAAAAAAATAGGTATTTGAAGTAGATACCAGTTATCATACTAAAAGAACTAAAAGGATCTTGACATGAAGGTAAATCAAAGTGTTTTAAATCAAATGTCTTAAGATTTTAAACTTATTAATTCATAATAAAAAACATAATACTTTTAGCAATAATAAGAACAAAAATAACAAAGTATGGTGTAATTTATTTAAATCATTCTTATTAAAAACCAAATTCAAACATGTCAATTTATGAAACAGCTGATTCGATCATAAACATGAATGGATATAGAATGAGGTTAGCTTTTACATACAAATTGCAAGTTTTATTAAAAATCATAGGTTCTTTTGTTATAGTACTATTTTTTTTACGCGAACCTTTTTAAATACCCAAAGCAATATCTTCTAAGATGAATCTTATAAGGTTGCAAAAATGAGTGCTGAATCTAGGTGAAATGTATTGAAACTTTAGCTTCCGTAGACTTATTACAAAAACCTAATTTGCGCGAAAATAAATAATGCAGAATTCGAAGAGCATTGCAGCAAAATGACTCAGATTTTAAACGTCAAAATCCATACTGTCATTTTGCCACATCAACGAAATATCCAAATCAGTAACGTAATTTTTAAAAGTAACATTTTTACATTATTACCAAATCCGTTAGAAGTAAAAGTAAAGAAAAATGGAAATATCAGAACGGCCATATTGAACCGTAACTCCTAACTGAAAACGAATACGACAGACTTATCGCCGTTACTGAGGTAGCAGAAAGACCGCAATTTTGATAAACAGATTCATACTTACAACACGCAAAAACACAAAAATTTGCACTTTTTCCAAATGTAAAGCACACACAGAATAACCACACTTCACATAAGACCCAAGGCAGAAAACCGTTTTCGTTGCAATGGCTCAAATTCACTCAATATACTACAATGGCGAGTTTCGATTTTTCTTTTTTCCTTCAAACTTCAGATGAAGTGCGCCATCTGTGTATTGAAATCAATAACTTAACTGTGTGCAGATTTCCTTGCAACACCGTAGCAATTGCGAAACAAAAATATAGCTTTTGTTGTTGTTAGAAGGAGAAAACATCTTAGGGTTTCCATTTAAAATTTTTAAGAAAATGGTGTGATTCAGAAAAGAATATTAAGAAGTCGGTCAAAAACGTTCGCAAAATACATATTCGAAAAGTATAACTTTCCACGCCTAATCCAGTTTAATTTAAAAGTGGTAGTTCACTGATTGAAATTTAACAAAATACACAAATTGGATACAACAGACTATAGTAATTGCTTTAGCAATACAAAATAAGAACCCTTAAAACTAAAACTTAATTCGGAAAACTTGATTTGTGATTTATTAAACATTTCATTTTATACAATTAAATCATTTTGTAATTTATTAAAGCAATTTTGTTCGGTACAGATTATAAAACACCTGTTAAAAACAAATGAAGTACTAGTTACGGATGGTATGGTACCCAACTCAACAAAACAAATGTCCGATTCGTGCGCCCATTTCGTAAGTTCTTCGAACGATAATCTCGATCAACGCCCTCTTAATATTATGTTTTAATATATATGGGCGTATGTGAATTGCGATATTTACTTCCTACCTTCTAATTATAACGTAAAAATTATATCGAATTTCTTTGGAAAACTGTTAAATTCTTTTAGCAAAACGGCTTAGCGACGAAAGGAATCAAGTTTCATTTTTGCAGTTTTATAAATGTTTGTCTAAGTGTTTGGTTGTTTAATATTATTTTCATTGTAATAATCAACTATATTTAATTGAGAATAGTGAATACTCAAGATGGCAGTGAATAGTGTTCTCCTTTCACCCAGTAAGTGAGTAGACTGGATCCAATCATCGATGTGTCGTTGTCACATCACAAACGAAGCACGGATGTTGACTCTTAGGAGTGGTGTGTGCGATGGTGATAGCAAAGAGTAAGAAAGTTAAGCCCAAAATGAACAACACGATCAAAAGCATGGATTATAATTGGACTACTGGCCAGGAACCTCCCAACAACCAGGAATTGGGAGTTCCTCGAGCTTTATTCATTCCTCATTCTAATTCCTTGCCATTTGACGAAAGGCGTGTCACACTGGAACAACCTATAAAGGTAAATATTATCTTCTGTCATAATTAATGAATACATAATCTATTTATTAAATTTAGTATGGTTACATTATCCTACCAATTTTATTAGTGGAAATTTATTACACATAAAGAAGCTTTACAATAATATTGTTTTAGACAGTTATTTGTTAACTTTTTATCTGTAAGTTTTATGTAATAGATCCTAAAATTCTTATTGATATTCAGGTTTATAGTGGTAAATCAGAAGGTATTTGTATATTTGGTAATAAAACATTCTTGTGTAGAATTAGGAGTTTACTTATACAAGTTTTGTAACATTGTATTTATGTAATTGTATTGAAGGTTAAACAATGTTTATTGAATATACAGTATTAATTAACTTGTACTATGAGAAAACTATCCAATAAGATTATTTTGATATACAAAGTAAATAACATGTTGACAGTGTTGAAATACATAAAGCATTTCATATAATTTAAATCCATTAATTTTTATTTACTGTAATTATGTTTTAACATTGGGAATACTCAATGCTCAGTACTTAATACTTATTTATGACCACTAGAATGTTGATATCCTCTTGAACTTTGTTGAAATGTCTATATGTTTAAAAAGCATAGTATATTTTATTATAAATATTAACTATTCATAACTTCTGTATTATCAAATCATTTTTTTTGTATGCAGTAAATAGTGAGCTAATTTTCTACATATAGATTGTCAATTTTAATAGAGGAAAAGTTGGCATGTTGCCATACTTGTGATGTAAAAGATAGTGTTTCCTGAAGTTCATACAATTTATTCTTTTTGTGCTTACAATGTGCAATTATTTTATCACTATCACATAACATTTTAAAGTAGGTTATGTTTTTTTCTTGTTACCATGGAAATCTATTGCAAAAACTCCAGTAGAATTATATGTTTTCCCAGTTTTTCCGAAGATAATGAAAGTTATGTCATTAGGATTTTGTTCAGTTGTCATCGCAGTAAAAACTAAAGATTTCACTCTAGAAATGCTAAAGTTGTCATACAAAATATGCACTAGCCGAGGAGTTGCGGAAACTGTAGCAAAATGTAGTACTACTACTTACTACATACTAAAGTTATTCTAGAAATACTTTTACTAGTAGTTCTTTTTTCTGACAAAACTCTACACTCAATTTTACTTTATATAACTCCAACAAGCTAAGGAATTTTGTTAGAGTTAAAATTTTCCCATGTATTCAAAAATACTTTCCCATGTTCAATATGCCAAGAATTGGATACATTCTAATCTAAAGTTTTAGAAGTGGATGCCTGATAAGCATTTATCTGTTTGCTGTCCAATATTTCTAGTGTTTATCACTATTCCTTTACCCTCAAAATGTTTGGTTTGATGTGGACTTATCTTATGTTCGTAGCGCATTCAGCTAATGTATTTTATTGCTTTGGTCCAGTTCTATTTAAGTTCATGTTGTTAGTTAATATATGATTTTATTTGAGTTTGCTGATTTTGTTAATACTGCAACTAGAAACTTTTGTCTTTAATAATTGCATTTTTGTTTTGAGAAATATTGTCAGAAAATTGTTATTTCATCAATGTTTGTTTGTGTACTATGTATCAGTTGAAGTAGAAAAACAGGGAAATAGATAAGACAAATTCAAATGAATAATGAGTACAGAGGGTTATAAAAAAAATTAACTAATATTACATATTCCTTTTTACCAAAAATAAAAATGTGCCTACTTTAAACACATGAAAGTATATTCTTTAGACAAATTTTAGTCATTGCATCTGCAATTTTAAATGTCTGGGCAACGATGCACCGCTATTTCGGCGAATTGTGATGGCCAGTCATTTCCTACCTTAGGATATAAAAGTCGATAGTACTGAACACATGAGAGTGAAATAAAATGAAGGTTTACAAAGCGTTGTCCACTTCATTCGAAGTTTGCATTGACAAGCTCATTGTATGCATTAACTTATTCTGTATGATTGTCGTGTCGCTCGTGCGGCCATGTCTGAGTCAGCGTGACCCGCCTCAGACGCTCAATTGTCAATCGGCAATTAAATTTAATTAGATTAAATTGTGCTATTTCTAACATGGAATCTGTTACCCCGACGCAACGGAAGTCGATTCTTATCGTATGTGCAACGAACAAAGCTTCCCGTACTAGCGCGTGTTAACCGAGTTGGCTAAGATATCCGCTGTATGTTGCTGATATTGCGGTTTATATTCGTTGGCTGTTGATATTATCTTTTTAATTTTATTATTACGTAAAACAGCCATGAGAAGGCTACTAATTAGATGTTTTACCTCCAAATAAGATGGCCTCAAAGTAAATGTAGATGATGTATATGTGAAGGCATAATAGTTTTCTTTCCAAATCTCAATTTGATCACAAAATTTTAAAAGATTTCTCTACTGATCGTAAATGTTTTCAAAAGGGGAGTGATGACTGAGATGACGTATGATAGAATTATTTGGAGGACAAAAACCTGTTGTGCCGACCCTACGGGAGTAGGATAAGGAGAATGATGATGGCGATGATGTTGAATTGTTTTGAATATACAGATGATATCCAATACCAGCAATAAATACAGTCCACTACTAACATATATATTGTTTTTAATGTACAGACAGGACATGCGAATATCCCATTGCACTTTTTTTTCCGCATTTCAATTGTTTTTAATCATTTTACGACTTAAATGATCTTTTAGTTAAAGTAGGGAAAGACAGAGTTTATTGACATTGCGTACTTGAATTAGTGGGACTAATGCTCCGACTCTTCTAGCCTGGGTACTAAATGAGGTCAAAGACATTAATTGAGAGGAAGGGCTATGAATTGAAGTCATCTTAAGATTCATGTAACTACATACGACTAAAATTAGTAAAGCAAATTGATAATATCTAAATTTCGCAAATGTTACGACGACGAGAAAGTTTTTAACGGCACGTTATTAAAACCAGTAAAATGCTGTGCTTAATGCGGCAAGTTATGCATGATCATTTAATAATTGCATGTCTATGACTGCAGTGGTTTGTAACTTTTATATATTTCTCTATTATATCACTGGAAAATCGAAAGAAGCAGAAAAATTAATGTTAAACCATGGTAAAATGTTGAAACTACTATTTTTTTTTATTTAAAACCTCGGATTCGTGGCTTAAAACCATATCTAATTAATACAGTATTGTTATTTTCAAGCGGCCTTTTTACTCAACCTTTACTTATTGAACAATACGCAATGTATACAAATTAGCGTAAAACGGCGAATATCCGTTTGACCACACTTTATATATTTTTCCCGTAGCATTTGTATTTGAAATTTAGCCGAGTCGATGTCGCTCAGACGACAGTACGAATGCCTAGATTGATAATTTAATAAATAAGGACGTCGTTGAAGTGTGCCCGCATCTGATTCACTTGTTACATTGTAAAACGAATGCATATGAATTTTAGCAGTTTGCATTGATAATGTTACGTAAAGAGTAAATAGTTAAATAAACCAAGTGAATTCGGTGATATAAGGTATGCTTCAGTTCGACTTCAATGGGGACGGCAGAATTGATGTTAATTTTTGAATTTGATAGTGAGTTAAAATGTAAAAATATTGTCAAGTTATGGTTAAAATCATACTATTATAAATGCGTAAGTTTAGATGGATGGATCGATGTTTGTTAGAGTTTGTAATCTAAACGGCTGAACCGATTTCGATGAAATTTGGTATAGATGTAGAGGATAGTCTGGAAGAACACATAGGCTACTCACTTTGGTTTTTTTTTAATTCCACGCGGACGGAGCTGCCAGTGAAAGCTACTAGTTAATAATTGTGAAACTATTTGACTAATTGAAATTTAATGTTGTTTTATTTCAGATTGGACGCAACGTATACCGAGCTACGCCGACACCGACGAACACGATATTCGAATGTAGAGTCCTCTCCCGGCATCACGCAACTCTCTACTATGACAAAGGACACTTTTATCTTGTGGTGAGTTTGTACTCTTACCAACACTAGCTCTGTTTTTGTTTTTCTTAGTCAAATGTTCGTAGAATTATCTCATGTTTAGTAAGTTAGATATTATGAATTTTTGCTACAATATATTTATCTGTATCAAGGGCGGATCCAGTTTTGGCGCCAGGGGGAGAAGTCACATAGTGGTAGTCAAGTCAAGAGCTTGACAAAATATATTTACATATTTTGTCAAGCTTTAGACCAACCAGCTCAAGGGGGGTCATGACCCCCATGAGCCCCCCCTGGATCCGCCGTTGACCTGTATATGTACGTCAAAGCGGCAAGCATTTATTAAAAAATTCATCTACAAGTTTTCTATTAATGTTTTCTATTTTCGTACCATATTTTTAACTTCTTTGTTCACTAGTTATTCTAAAATATTCAAGACGTAAACATAACAAAGAACAAAACATTTGAATATTCATTTCAATACGTCTAAGCATGTACTTGTTAGCTTAAGGTGAAAATGTGTTACATACAAGGGCGAGTCGTAACTTCCTTCCGTATACAATTTCCTAAGCAGTTTGTTAGCAATTAATATGTCGGATCAAGTTCTGGCTTTAGCGATTTTTTAATCGCTTACTTTTCTAAGGTTTCTTATTTTAACCCTAGTATACCAACTACATGCCTATTACGTTTAGCTTTACGTAAAGTGTTGCAATAATTAAGTTTTTACTCTTGTATTTTATTTTTACTCTTATTTTTTAGTTGTAAAACTGATCAATGCAATGCTATTTAAATTTGCGTTGTGTAACATACAATATACTCATTAAATATCGAAACTCGGAGATAAACTGGCTGCGGTATAATAAAATGACTATTTATTGATTTAATGTATAAGATGCATAAAAATCTAGATCATCCTTTGGGCTAACTTGCTCGCTTAATGTTTCGGAAGATCACATTTTTGTTATTTTGACCAGAACCAATTTGAAATAATTTTATTACCAGATAGAATTATAGTTTCTCTGAAAACCATTTCAATGTAAACAGTATACACGAATTTATATTAACATGTAAATGAAATACGTTACGAAAATATACACGAATCGCTTTAGTGTTTTGTAATGTTTGTAATTCAAGATTCACGGTATCATCGACCTTGTGCACAATCCTAATTTGATCCAAAAACAATACGTTTAATGACATATTTACACCGGCACGTAAAATGACGTCAAAAGTGACGTATGAACAATTTAAAGGTGGTGTTACACCAATTATTAGAAACATTCAAAATCTTATTTTTATTGCGAAAACCGGAACACATCTACGCAAATCAACAGATTTTATGAACGTCGTACTATGAATAAATTTTCGTTAAAAATGGTTTCGGCAACTTTGTTTTATCTTCGGACTATTCTATTAAAGTTGGAGGTCAAAGTGGTATTAGATATTCAATAACTTTTTAAGAAAATCAAGGTAGTGGAGGCACTTAACTTTTTTAAACAAGACACACAACCAAAAAAAGCGTCTTCCGTTTTTCTCTACAAAGTATTAGTGCAAATGTGTACGGTCCCTAGTATCGTAGCTTACATCATCCGTGCTCGCATGTAACTATTATGAAAGAACCTAATTGACTTATCTATGTTTAGGCCGGTAACGGGTCCACTCTCACTTGATACGCCCACTGACAGATTTCTAGGACATTATCGTAAATATTATAAGCACGTTTGTTGTAGACTTGATGGATGAATAGTCAATTCATATTATTAATTTAAACTTAGGTGTAAGTAGAATGAAACAATTATTTTGTCTATTTAGTGTAATTAAGATTTTTATATCAACTCATGAGACTATGGAATTCCTAATTTACAGTAGGTTTATGTTAAGTATGCATTAAAAAAAAATATTCGCATCTTCAGTTCCTCTGGTGTTGCGGAGGATACCCCTGCTAGTTTGTGCTCGTTTCTTTTAAAAAAGATAATTTTCATCCAACTTGTTTTCGTTTTTACTGATGTTTTGCAAGTGGAAACCCACGGTTACTCTGTAATAAGTTGTGGAACACACTGCAACTTTAACGGTTCACTGCTACGACTCGATGGCACTACCATTTATGTTACAGAATGAACGTGTTGTCCTTTCTGGAAAGTTCACTGACCGTACTCATGTAGATTTAATTGTAACCCATCATAGCTAGTCAGCGTGGAATTAAAAAAAAAACAAAAGAAAGTAGCCTTTGTATTCTTCCATACTATCCTCTAAATTTATGCCAAATTTCATCCATAACTGTTCAGTCTTTTAGGCTACAAACTCTAACAAACGTCCATACATCCAACATTTCGCATTTACAATATTAGTCCAATGAAGAGGTTTTGAAAAGAACCAATTTGTCTAGTAAACGTTTTTCGTATTTGAATTGGAACGCAGTATACAATATAGGGCAGTGCTTGTGCAGAAATCGCGGGTGTTAATGCGTACACGACGTGCCAATGATATTTTCGGAAGTGTTAATACAATGATGTATTGTTTGTTGCTTGGAACACAGTTGTCGGTTAAGTTGTAAGGAATAATATCGATTTTATATACCTTATCTTAGATTTCATAGGAGACTCATCTTACCCGTAGTTATGGAATTTTTTGTTTGTTTTTTGAACCTTAAAAAATATGAAGACCTTTCCAGTTAATGATTAAGTTGGCATTACCTGAAAATTATCCGAATATGTATAAACTAGCTGTTGCCCGCGACTTCGTCCGCGTGGTATTAGAAAACATACTAACTATATAAATTACAAAAAGTTACGTATCCCTCGAGAACCGGACATTTCCCGGGGATGAAGCTTATCCCAGACTTTGTTTTATATCTGTGCCAAATTTCAATAAGATATGTTGAACCGTTGCAGAATGATCGAGTAAACATTAAAAAACTAAATTAATGAATCCCACGGGAACCGTAACTATTCCCGGTATAAAAAGTAGCCTATGTGTTCTTCCAGACTATGCTCTAAACCTGTGCCAAATTTCAAAGAGATCCGTTCAGCCGTTTAAGCTACAAACGCTAACAAACATCCATCCATCCATCTAAACTTTCGCATTTATAATATTAGTAAGATTTAGACAGATTCTGTCATTAACAGCAAAAATGATAGTTATGTCATTGGTATAAAACTGATGGCTATTACAGCTTTGTTTTATCATAACGAAGCGTGTTACAAGTTTAGTGATCAAGGGCATAATTTTTGTTTTACATTCATAATCAACTCAACAAAGGTGGCATGTTATCGTTTTCTAAAATAACACTAATATGAATCTCGAGTTCATCCCAAACTTCCAACGTCTTATGTCTTTAAATGTCTAATTGTTGATAGTACTCCATAACATTGAGTCGTTGAAGTTTCCATTGTCTCCCGAGATATCAGATAACAATTAGAAGTAAATTAAAACATAAGATCTGTTTTCATTGTCACGAGATGTGCGAACGTGACACTGTCCGGATCTAACTAATCATTCAAATGATCTACGATACGTGATTTGCCTGCAGCTGAGGAAAACATGCGCGTGCTATTATTAGCTTGTTTTTTCACAACATTCGCATGATTAATGAAGATTACATCAGTAATCAGTAAACTTGCATAAAATTGTTTGATCTTTTTGAAGGTTAATATGTAATGTTAATATAATATTTTTATTCTCAATAGCAATCTATAATAGTGTGCTGTTTTAGTTGTTTAATATACTATGTTGTACCAGATTGGAAAATATTTGCTTTATCAAAGCAATCGTACTAAATGTAACGTTTCCATGTTATTTGTTTTGTATCCATAAATGGGCATTAGAATCTATTTGTCTTTTAGCACAATTTCCTTTGTATCTGTTTAGATTACTTCTCCATATAACAGGTGGTAGTACAGTCATGCAAAGACTTATTAAGTAGTTATACGTTTTTCAATGTAAATACCATCGATTGATAATTTATTGCGTCACCAATTACGCGTATTGTGTTACTTGTGGTCGTACGTAAGTTGTAGCTGTATCACATTGGTTATATTGTTGTTCTATAATTTGCTTTAGATATACCTTGAAAATTAAATAATGTGCAAGTTAGTATGCAGAGAGAATAGTGAATTCCGTTTAATTTAATAAATATATTTGAGATATTCGATAACGTACAATCAAGGAAACTGGCGGTGCTCCACCTTAAAAGCTACAATCGTTGGAACATTTTGAAACGAAAGCGGAATAATAACCAATACAAAGCAGTTTATATATGTATCTGTATGAAAAAAGTCGGTTATTGATACACGGCGAATATTGTCCATTGAATATCTAATTAGTTCTTTTTCCTTAAGCGCAACACTGCCAATTTCCGCGACTGTACATAGGCCATACGATATGACATACTAAACCAAGATGCATGTACCAGCTACTGTGTGTAACTGTGACATTGATTGCTCGTTATCGGAACAGCATTGCAATGATTTGTTGACGCTCTCCTAGCTCACAATGAGTTTTATTTATATTCTTTGTTTTAAATATATGTCCGCACGTTACTATTTGCCTTTATGATATCCGAGTTGAGACACATTTCCTTTGTTTATGTTACTATATTCAATTAATCGTTTTTTTCATCTGCCAAATTTAAAAAGTGTTGTTCGATCATCATACTTTATACTTCATTCTTTTCATACTAATGTTATAAATGTGAAAGTTTAGATGGATGGATGGATGAATGTTTGTTAGAGTTTGTAGCCTAAACGGCGATGTAAGCCTAAACCGTTTTACGACTATTTGATAAATTTGGGTTGATTTCTACTTATAAATGTTTCATCGATGTATTCTAGCATAATGATTTATATCAATCGTTTGAGAACATTAGTATTGCTCTAGAGACGTCGCGCTGTCTGTGCCTACGGAATGTATTAGTATTACTTAAGGTCTCCATTGTCATCTCTTTCAATCTGGTTGTAAAAACAGAGATAGCAATAATGTTTGAATACGAGTGCCGTGCCATTTGAAGTCGGTTACTTAGAAAAATCTGTAACAACTTAACATTCCTGTAATGGTTTTCTATGCATCACGCATGCCATTTAAATATACGTCTGATTGTATCGGTTCTTTGTCTGTTGGAGTTTTGTACGAAGTTTATATACTGTGAGTGTCATTGGCCCGAATATTAACCAATATTGAGCAATAATATGTAACATTTTAATTATGTGGGTGGGTTTGACCGTTTTTGGAATTCTCTGTTTTGATCCCAAGGGTAATCTATCGTTCTTTTTCTAAAAGCTTGATAACGACGTGGTTTGAACTATCATTCTACGTTATTTTAAACACATAAATATTTAAATCATAACTTTAATTTTGGAAATAACACAAGGACGTTATGGGAATGTTAGTAGATAGTCCAGTACTGCAATTGTTTGAACACACGTGTACTGTTAAATGTTTTCTTTGTCATCATTGTGCGTGTGAAACTAGCATAACCTTTGCAAAATGTCAATGCAATATCATCTCCTTTTGGAGGTGGTCAAGTTGCCTACTACGGTCGTGACATAATGACACAAATGACACGATGAATATGGTGGTTGTTACGAAACCATTTAAAAATTTAATCTCTCTTATAACAATTAGTGTAATGTATGGTGCAAGTCATTATCCTTAATTACAACTCGCTTGTTATTGGCAATGATAAGATATAAGCTACGTATTTACGTCGAAAATCCCATAAAATTAAATCACTCTACACTGTTTTAAATTTTGTGTTTATCAGAATGGTTCAAGCGACTTAACTTACATGAGTCGTCAAAACTATTTTTGATATTCTCTTTGTGTGTTGGAAAAAATAGAGACGCAATATGTGATAAGCGTAGCTCTTGACTCATCGTTGTTGAGTAAATATAATTCAGATCTCAACATCGGTTCTTGTAGATCTTAATTTTAATCTTAAATATCTTTTTAAATTGTTCCTCTATATTCATAAAGGGACTAGTTTTACAAAGCGATTAAAGCATCAAATGTATGAAAGTATATCAAGGTTGTTTGTATTCATAAGAATTTGTTGCTGGTAAACACCAACATTGTATTTTATAAACAATCTGTGCATTATGATTGTCTACGTAAGACGTTCCAGTCGATTCTCGGCTTGAGTAGATGGCGTGTGTGTTTCAGGACAACCAGAGCAGCAACGGCACATTCATCAACAATAAGCGGTGCTCGATCTCGGAGCTCGAGCCGCAGGAGGTTTTCTCCGGCGACGTGGTCCAGTTCGGCATTCCGGTCGTCGAGAATGCTGCCAATTCGGAAAAGGTACCCATCTGATTTAACCTCACTCAACTCAATATCCTAATGTCCTTTTAGAGTTCAGCCCTTAATAATACGTATGCAAAAGTAATGGTCAATATTTTGTTGTGAACCAGAACATGATGACGTAAGCCTTTAACGCTTTTTGTCTATGCCTTAAAGGTTCTTTCCAGTTGATATTAAAAGTGTTTATTGCTCTATATATGTTTATGGTTTCAGAACACGTTTCCGCCGGTGGTGGCGCTGCTCAAGCTGTACCACCCGGACGGCAAGGAGGCCAAGCTCTCCTTCAACCCCACTATGACGACGCCGCTGCACCTTAAGGAGTTGTACGAGCTTAATAATTTTGTTCAGGTAACACTCGCTCTTGTACTACTATATGACAATTTTGTTTGTAAGGAATATTTTTGCATTGGTATAGGTATTTATTGAAAATTAATGTCACAATCGCAACTGTTTACTAAGTTTTTAATTTGTGTACACTTAATACAGTAAAGATTGTGCAACAATATTACATCTGGGACGAGAACATTTAGCGCGTGTGTATATATTAAGGGTTTATGTTGTAATCGTCCTAATATTATAAATGCAAAAGTTTAGATGGATGGATGTATGTTTGTTAGCGTTTGTAGCCTAAACGGCTGGACGGATTTCTGAGAAATTTATCATAGATGTAGAGGATATTCTGGAAGAACACATAGGCTTTATGAACTTTGTTTTTTTTTTCATTTTCACGCTAACGAAGTCGTGGGCGAAAGCTAGTGATTTTATATTCTTAAGTTGTGAATAACGATGTTGGCTACGTAATCACATCGTGTGTGCTATACGTGTTTGTTATGGATATAATAAATAATATGTATTCCGAATAAAAATAAATATGTTTAATAGGATATGTATTGACTAGTCAGTGTTATATAGGAAGCGATACAGCGCGAGGCGTCGCTGGAGGGTCGTCTGCGTACGTTGCGCGAGTGCGTGGAGCGCACGCGGGCGGATGCTCAAGCCTCATGGGAACTGTTCGTGGGTGAGCAACGGCTGCTGACGCGTGTGCACACGCTGGAGGCGATGCTGGCAGCGGGCAAGCAACCCGAGCAACACCACGTTGTGCAACTACTCACAGACAAGAGGAACTACCAGGTAATGTTTGTATTGCGAAAAAAAAACTATATGTTTCATTCATTAAGTAGCCCCAGAGGTTGAAAAAATAAGGAGTTAAAGGTTATCGTGGTATGGGCATGTTATGAAGGGATGAATCGCATGTAACAAGAAGGATGTTAGTTTTGAATGAGGAGGGCACACTGGTAGAGGTAGACCTAGAAAGAGATGGATGGATTGCGTGAAAGGAGACATGATCAAGAAGGGAGTGATGACTGAGATGACAGATGATAGAGTTATTTGGAGGACGTAAAACAAACGACCCTACGGGAGTAGGATAAGGAAGGGGAGATGATAATAAGTGCATTTTCCATTTGTATGTTTTTAGGAAGTGGCGCAAGAGAGTCTGCGTAGTGCGCACGAGCAGCGATTGGCGCTGGAGGAGACGCTGGAGCGGCGCAGTCGCGAGGCCGCCGCGCTGCACCATCACAACTACGCACTCAGGCTCACCGCCAACAATGCGCTCGCCGAGCTGCAGGTGACCACCACACAACTACTCTTATTTATATCTATCTATAATAAAATATTGTATTGTAACAAAATGGTATATTCAACATAAGTTACCTTAAGTAAGTAAATTGTTAATTTTTATTAAGATGAATACAGATTTTTAAACAAATAATAAATAAAGTGTAAACACACACTAATTAGTTACGTACGATGTCAGCAATCAGAGTATGTTTTTGAATATTTTTTTAATAAAAAGCCATACGCTCACGACACTCTTTAGACTATATATATTCACGCTATTAAACTTAGGGAGTAAATAATTTGGAAAAAACCGTCAAGCGGGAAAGAAACAAAAATTACAAGCTGCCAACATTAAAGAAATAAAGTAACCATGGTAACGGTAATTGTTGCCTAATGTCAAAGGCCTTTGTTGTCATTTGTGCATTTGAATTTGAACATTTGCAATTCAAAGTTTCACAAATGTAAACAAAATCAAGTTATTACAATTTGATGCGGATGAAGCTGCAAGGGAACAGCTGGTTCAGTTATAAACCTTTCATGAAGTTGATTAAATAAAATTCGTTTTATTTTATTTGATTTTGTTTATTGAATGTTGATTGTTGTGTGTTGCAGAAGCTGGCGGCGCGCTGCGAGCGCAAGATGTGCGCGGCGCGGCTCGCCATCGCCGCGGCGGAGGAGCGCGAGCAGGCCGTGCGCAAGCATCTGCCGCTCACCGTCAGTCACCACATACTACATTTACTAATATTATAAATGCGAAAGTTTAGATGGATGATTAGAGTTTGTAGCCTAAACGGCTACATCTCCATGAAATTTGACAAAGATGTAGTACTCATTATGGTTTTTATTACGGACGGACGGAGTCGCGGGCGAAAGCTAGTTTATATATAATTACTACCTGTTGCGACTGTTTAGGCTACAAAAATCCAATCAAAATTTCGCTTTTACAATATTAATAAGATTAATAACTAGCATTAAACTAAACGAGATAAACATCTTTACTAGATATGTACGTTTTAAAACATTTTGACGCTAAAATTTTTAAATCTAAAACGATAGTAATCATTCTGGTCAAAGAAAAGTGTAGATTTCTGGCTTAGAGTATTGTTAATGTAGTATCAATTCCTAGTATTTCCATAAAAATTGACTCATAGTAATATAGATGTTCATATTTATTTCAATATTTGTAGGATGTAACTAAATATTCAATAATATATATTTTTTGCATAATAATGTTTAGAGTAGGCGCACCTTTGACTAAACAATCGCACAACTGTTGTGCGATTGTTCATTGTTTCGCAGACAATTCAACTATTTAGTTGCACAACTAAAAATCGAGTAGTATGCGCACCTCCATATAAGCTCATAGGAATCAAAGCGAGAGTAAACAGTTGTGCGATGGTTTAGTTTTCGGTGTGTGCATGATCTTATTTTATGTGTCTGTACAGTGCTCGGTGCAGAACGGCGAGGCGAAGATGCTGGTGGTGAGCACGGACAGCAACAAAGTGTCGGAGGCGCGCCGCGCGGGCTCGCTGGAGGACGCCGTGCGCGCGCTGCCAGACTACATCAAGCTGCTGCTGCCACAGCCGCTGCTCAACAAGGTACACACCTCCCCCACTATCTGCACCTTCCTACCACCTACACTTCCTCACCACATGCACCTCCCCACAACCTATACCTCTCCATTATTGATGGTACACTTCCTCACCACCTACGGACCTCCCCACGACCTAAACTTTCATACCATCTGCACCTCCTCATCAATTACACCTCCCCATCACCTACACTCCCCCTACACACAAACCTCCTCACCACCTACACTCCCCCTACACACAAACCTCCTCACCACCTACACCTGCACATACCGCGGCAACGCACACGCGCATTATGCAGTCAAAGAAATAAATTTGCATAAACAATTACCATATCGAAGCTATAATTTAGTTGAATAATGTATGCAATTCATTGATGGCCAAAACAAGCAGTGACAACACATTTAATAAAACCTTGTTTTGCTACCCATGTGCAGATTAATATTACTGGCTGTTACTTACAGGTGGGCATAAAAGCAATATCAGCGGAAGGGAAATCAGCGAAAGAATTCGAATTAATATTAAAGAAGAACGATATTTACAACTCAGATAATAAAGGTAAGTGTGTTTAAATTGCTCAAGTGTTAAAAAGTTACAGATTTTTTATAAAAAATACTTATTACTAGCTGATGCTCGCGACTCCGCCATTGTAAAAATAAAAAAAAATATTGCCTATGTTACTCAGTGATACTGTAGCTTTTTAATGATAAAACAATTTTTGAAATCGGCCCAGTAGTTTTTGAGTTATTGCAATGCATACAAAAATACAAATCTTTCTTCTTTATAATATTAGTATATATATATTTTGTTATAACAGAGAAAGAAGAGGCGGAAGACGGTGTGAGCGGCAGCGCCGAGGAGAAGACCGAAGAGCCCGAGTCATGCACTGACGACGAGAAGCAGTCAAGACTTAACCACGGTCAGTAATGTTAACTATCAATAACTAATAAAGTTATTGCTGTTTTTTTTATTCGCCTTGTAGAAAGGTGAGATAGAAATATGTGTTCATTTTTAAACAATTTCCAGATCAAGATCACGAAGTGGAGTCATCGAGTCCCGTGGACGGGGAGCTGCACTCCGATAACAACGCCAACTCCACCTTCAGCGAGTCCAGCAATAGGGACGACTCACCAGTTAGTCACATCACTCTATGTTCTGTTTTACTTGTGTTCCACTATGCTATGCTTAAAGACAAGTTTTTCTGATTTTTATAAAGCTCTATTAAAGTTCTCCGCTACAAGGAAATAAAGGTGTAGGTATTGTACAGGTACACAGGAATAATAAATCTTAGAGCATCTTGATAAATTACCATTTATTAATATTAGAGCAAAGCTGGCGTGGAGTACGCGAACATCCTGCGCGTGATGGCGGGCCTGAACGAGGAGATCCGCGTACT